TTTTTCAATTTTTTTTATAATGGTCTTGATTACAATGTGACTTGTGCCTATGCTATCTAAATGAAATCAACGAAGCCCTAATCAACTAAAATGAAACAGTTGGTTCAATTGTCTTTTATAATCTGCTTCATCTAGGCAATGGCCATGTGGCTTGATTAGTGATGTTCCATGCTTGTCTTCTAAATTCTCATTAATACTAGTTGAATTGGTTACCATATTCATGCTTTCAAATGAGTTGTGGAGTCATGAAGATGTTTTTTCACCATTTCACAACTTTAGTATAAATCCAACCACATAATCACTTTCTATTATTCCTTTCACAGTGTCTCAAAAAAAACACACACAACTGTCTAATTAAGGCCCCTTGTCTTCTAAAGATGTGATGTTTCTGGTAAATAAACACCAAGCCTGGACTTGTGGATGATATTTAACAGAGAAAATAATCCATGATCTAAATTATTATTATATTTTTTTTTACAACCATGTGAATTTCATTTCCTGGAAAATTTTGTGTCAATTGCGAACAGAAGCTGAAATGGTGCAGTACGGGGAGTTGGATGTACTCAGTTTAGTAATTCAGATAAAGTCCAATTGAGCTTATTGCTAAAGCTTTTGGCCCTAATCTCATTGCAGCAATTTATGGATTACTTAGTTTCGATCTGATTCTGATGGAACTGTTCTCCTCAATTGAATTAATAAGTTCTTGCACCATTCCAAATGGAAATAAAAAAATCCATTCTTGTCATGCTACACAAGTTTGTAGGTTTTTCTTTCTTTTTCTCACAAAGCTCACTCATTTTTTGATTTCTTGCATCATTAAACAAGAAAATATTCCTTGAGATTACCCCCCTCTATTCTTTTATAATATAGTAAGTGCTCCCTGTTGTGGACTAAGTTGGTCAGCTTCAAATGATGCAGAAACCAAAATGGAATATTCTTCACATTCTTCAAGACATAACCAAGCTCTTAGGCTCTAGTCATTCTGTGCTATTTTTTAATTCTTCAATCACTGTCAAAGGCAAGAAGAGCATTGTGCCATAGTTTCACCAATTATACCTTCTGTTTTAGTATAAGAATGCATGTAATGTTTATTTCTGGACTCAAAATTCAATCTTCATCTGCATATTTAATCAAAATGCTTCCCACTAGGAGAGGGTTGGCCTCTTTAATTCCATTACACAAAATTCAAAAACACGAAAAAACAAGACAGCACAGCACCAGAATTTTCTTGTCCATCATTCTGTGCCATAGGATGATCTACCGTTGGTTGATCTTTCTCTATATCTTGAATTTTAAAATTTCAAAATTAGAAACCTACCAATGCAAGTTGCTCCCCCGTCTAGGAATTGATTCTACTCTATTTCAGATGTCTTCTTTGAAAGCATCCTCCTCCAAAGGCCTTGAGGATACAGAATGTTGGTTTCTTTTCTTCACACACCTCCAATTTGTCTTGATTCTGGATTTTTATTTTTATTTTGTTAATCGCAAAACTTCCATGTATCTTTACCTCGAGTAACTTCTCTCTATATCTTCCTTTCAACTTTCTTTCTACTCCTTTTTCTTTCTCCATTTGGGTCTTTGATTTTTCCTTAATTGGTAACTAGTTGGCCATAGATCACGATGCTACAAAGTTTAAACCAACTAGGTTATGTATAGAAGCTGGGCCATTTAAAATTCACACAACTAGGCTTGTAATGATTGCATGAACTTTCCTCTTCTTGTTGGCTTTGTATTGCAGGGACTACCTTGTGTTTTATTTGTGCCATTTATTTGTATCTTCAAAGTTGAAACCAAAAAGGTTATGTATACTTGTGCCAATGGAGCTGGTTTACTGTTTTTGCTGATGTTGGTGTAAAAAGTGATTGTTTAACATGATGTAAAAAATGGTTGTTTTGTGATGAATATACGAAATTTGGTTGCCATTTGTATTGATCTGATAGTGGATGATTATCTATTTCCTCTACAGTTTTTTTGATACACTTATGGTAGTATCAATTTGTTGTTATGCCAACATAGCTCTGTTCATGTTGAATTCTCTATCATGGTTGCATTAACTTCATTTGTTAGGTTTGCAGTTAATATGTATTGATTTCTTAAAAATTAGTTCTATTTTTGTCTTGAGGATTCATTTTTACGTATACTAAATTAACTTGAAATTCACGTCTTCTTGCAGATTAATATTTTGTGGACTATACATGCAACAAGGCATTGACTAAATGGAATTTTTTTACTTTTAACAGTAGAGATTTAAATTCTGTATTTTTTTAATTATATTTTGAAATACTTTCTTCAAGTTTTTATATGTTTTGTTCTAATTATGACAAATTAAGTTTGTAAATTGGATGGGTACTTTTGCAATATTCTTTCTAAGAATGATATATTCTAACATTTTCTTCTACATCTTTGTTCTTAATTAAATGGTAGTTTTATAATCTTTTTAAGTATTTTTTATATATTTTTTTATAATTGTTACTATAATATTATTGGCAATAACTATTGTTGTTATAAAGAAAAATTTGTAGTAGTAATAACAATTGTTGTTACAAATTAGAACTTATAATAGCAATAATAATTGTTGGTATATAATTGTTATTATATATTGAGTTTTTAGTAGTAATAGTAGTAGTTGTTATAAATTAAACTTTATAGTAGTAATAATAATTGTGGGCATATAATTGTTGTTATAAATTAAAATTTTTAGTAACAATAAATAAAATTTTTACCATAAAAAGTTTAATTACTGTTATAAACTTTTAGCGATACTAGATATAGGGGTAATAATCTAATTACTGATAAAATTTTTACCAATAATAAGAATTATCACTAATATATATTATAATTGTCACTAAAAATATTATTTATTGTAGACTTTCTCAGCCTCTCTGGGATAAGGACAGCGGTTGGAGGAACGAGAACGAGGCGATTTATTTGACTTCATCGTATTGATACGCGCGATTTATTTGACTTCATCGTACTGATACGTGGGGAAATCGGATTCTTTTTTCCAAGTAAACGAAAGAAGACGACCATTGGTGATTGTGTTTTATGACAAGCGTTGTGTCTGTAATTTCAAATTGCACGTTTTTAATCCATGAATTTCAATTTTGGTACCAATTGCATCTCTCAATCTGTACAGTTTACATTTCTACCAGTTAGGGAATGACTATTTTGCACATTAAAACATTCAAAACTAAAATATAAAAAGGACATCAGAATCAATGATCCAACGATGGGATTGTGATTACCATGAAACCGAGTTTCATAAAATTCTTTTGACCTATTGATTGACTAGGTTTTCCCCAATCTCGAATTTGGATTTTGGAAAAATCAAATCAAAGTTTTGTAAAATCATGTTGTTAACTCATTTAACCCTTGAATTTGTAATTACAAAAGATTATTTTTCCTATTGATTAATTGCATGTTGAAGTTGCTACAATCCACAGCTGTACTGAGAAGACAATTGTGCAAGGTCCAACTGAAGGGAGTTTTCTGTCTCTAGTTTTTCTCCTTTTTGGGTTTTCCGTGTAAATTCTTGTTCAATTCTTTTGTTACTTCATTGCTTTGGGTTAATCGTAGTTGCAAGTCGCATTATTCCCTAACAGGATAGAAGGCTAAATTTCACTAAACATAAGACAGAATACAGTAGAACAACATAATTTTGTCGAACTTATCTCCATCTATCCCTATCCCGTGCAACCAGAGGCCAAACAAATAGTCTACAGGGCAAAAAGTAGAACAAAAATCCTCGATTCAACCAGAACTGGTTCACTAGATGAATACAATATTGAACAGTAAACAGAACTAACTCGGATTTGGAGGAAATAATCTAGAGGACATGATGACTAAAGCTTTGCTGGAGGTCATATTGACTTTATTTGGTGTTCTTCGCTTTGTCGGAGAGAGACTTTGTCGGCCATTTTTCCTCCCAAGTGGAGGCCAAACCCAACTGGGGTCAGATTGCAGAGTTGGTGGATTAAACTGAATGGGATCTCTCCAACCCCTTGCGGTAGTTACATGGGTAAATTAGAGAGGAACTGAAACTCGAAAAGGCGGAGAAGTGCACAGACCACTTTGAAATAATGAGAGAAAGTTTAGGAACTTTCGCATAATTCCAAATAAACTTATTGAGGTTTCTGGCAGAAGCTTTTCATTTTCTTATCATTTGGCATTTCGAACATACAGAGTGAGCTTTACCAGTTTCTTGAGAGAGAGGGAGAGAGAGAGAGAGAGAGAGATCACTCAGTCAAGAGAAAGGGAAGAAGCTCACTGCTGTAGCGTGTTGTTGCCGCCGGCACTGCTTCTCTTACCGCCGGTTATATCGCCAGCACAGTCTGTAGCCTTGCCGACTTTGACATATTTGACACAGAGAGTAGTCGTTTTGACTGAGAAGTGAGAGAGGCTTATTGCACTTGTTGCTTCTGGTCTTTGTTCTTTTGCCGTCGATTGCTGCTGCACTTGTTGCCATTTACAACTTATATTGTCGACCGAATTGTTGACTTCTGCGTGTTAGCAGAAAGTCAAAAGGAGCTGGATTTCTGTTTGGTTTTTGATTGAACTGGCTGGTTAGTCCAGTACAGTCGCTTTTCTTTTTAAGTTTGTTGTTCTTTACCTCTGTTGCCTTTCAATACCTAGTGCGCCTGACTACTGCTTTATGCTATAACTGTTCATTGTTAGCTACTTAGTTGCACCAAGTGCACCAATTAGTTGTATATGCTGATCGGAGCTCAAAATACCTTCGCTATTTTATTTCTTTTAAAGAGTTAGTTTTAATAGAGGAAATGCTCTAGTTTTATTGGAGTAGGGGAGTGGAACCTTTTTATACTTGCCTCATTAGGGGCATTCATTTTACTTGACTTTGGAGCATAAAGTTCTGTATCTATACCAATTCATCCCCACTGTCAACCATACCTAGGCCAATAGTTTCTATCGATTCTGCCGAGAAGGCACTTTCAAAAGTTTCTTCCGAAGGATTTTTTGATAGGACGGTGGGAAGGGTAAGGATGGTGAGCGGTTGGGTGCGACAACTGGCGATGCTATCGCGTCCGGCGATGGGAGGGCTCGTATCGCACTGCGGATGGAATTCGGTGCTGGAGAGCATCGGGTATGGTGTTCCAATACCAACTTGGCCCATATACGCAGAACAACAGGAGAATCCGTTCCAGTTGGTAAGGAAGTTGGTATTGGCGGTGAAAATTACGTTAGATTGTGATCAGCAAAGTTGCAGCGCCGGAGGAGCGAGAATGGTGTCTGCGGCGGAGATAGAACGGGGAATGAATAAGGAAGTTGATGGAGGACGGATGTGAAGTCCGACGAAAGATGAAGCAAACCTGTGAGGGAAGAGCAAGATCGCACCAACGAAGGTGAGTCCTCGTACGCTTCTCTTGGAGCTGTTGTCATCGATAACGTAATAACAAGAATATGCAATGGGTGATACACGAGAATACACTCACGTTTATGCTTTTCTTTTACTAATTTTACGTAAAATAAATTCCTTTTTTACTAAAAAAATTCACCAAATTCACTTTTACAAAATTATCGTTTAATTTGCCGTTTAAAAATAGTTTAAAACTTATTCTTAATCTAAAGTTAATTTAAAGTAAATTTAGATAGATCTATATCAGAAAGAGGGTTTTTCAAATTTATTTTCTTTAAATTTAGAATTAATGAGCTCCAAAAGAGACGTAACATAAATTTCATTACTTGTAGGGCAAGAAACTTAAAGTGCCTTTTGTTAATTAATCAGAGTTTCTTGTGATGACTACGTACTTATCTGTAGAATTCGTATTTTTAAAATTCAATACAATTCTTTTCTGTTACCTAGTTTACATAGATTTGTGGTGGATTGAATTTTGATCAAATAAATAAATTTAAATTTAAGTTTAATTAATTATTTTTATATTTAAATTGATTCAAAATTTTATTAAATTTATATTTATTTGATTATATTTAAATTTGGTTGATAATCTAAAATTTGATAAAAAAATTCAATTTAACAAAAAATAATATTATTTTATACTTAAATCCCTTAACCCCTATTCATAAATTATATATTGATTACTAAAATATCTGATTTTCTCAATTTATTTCTTACATTTAAATTTATTATATTTATAAGATTATTAATTGAACACAAAAATATTTTAAGATTCAGGTACAAACACTGACAGATCTAGGATTTTTGTTAAGAGGGGGCAAGAATGAATATAAAAGTTAAGTATATTTAAAAAATATAACTAATTAAATAGTTTGTTCATTTATATTATAAAATTTATATAAAAATAAATTAATTATGCATTTATTTGAGTATACCATTTTTTCATATATTAATTATTTGTTATGTAGTACTTTAAGTCTTGACATTTCTCCAAATTGACATTTCTTTAAATTGTTATATTGTTTATGACAATTTTTAAATAGTTTTAATTATAAAGTATAATATACTAACCCAATCTTATTTATATTTAATAGAACGAATCAATTATTACTAAGTAGAGTATAGTTTCCCTAAGTTTTTAAAACTAATAATTTTAACTATAATAATCCTAAATATAAGTATAGACGTGGAATTAGAGTTGAAAAAGTCCAACCTCACCAATAAACTAATTAGTTAACTGATTTGAAATATATTTTTAATATTTTGTTAGTATTTTGTTTTATTACACATAAAGACTCACCACCTAGATATTTTTTTTTTCTTTTTTGTTGTCTATATCAGATACATATAATTAATTCACTGTTTCCTTTGTGTTCCCAAAGTGATTTGAAAAAATAATAATAAATCAATATAAAACTTATATCTACAAGCCATCTAAGAGATACCTAAATACAGTAAATAAACAAGAATAAAATAATTAATAAATAACATTTGTGAGAGTGTGCATCTATTTCGTAGGTGAATGAGAGAAGAAGCTAATAATACAAACCTAGTTGGACGGATGAGAGATAAAATTTGACTATTTGCTTTTATTTTTACTTTTTGGATTTACTAATAGTATATGTTGAACGCAATGGCCCTACCTTTGCTTTTGCTGTTTTGATGGAAATTGCTGTAAAAATTGAATTAGAATATAAAGACTGGAACGACGAATGAAAGAACTAGCATTAGATTTAAAATTTGAGCCGCAGAGGTAAACTACAAAGTTAAAATTGTAAATTGCCAGATAAAAATACTCAATCGATTGAAAAGAGATATACAGTACACTTTTAGTAATTTTGGTAAAATTATCTTTTTGTGTTTTATATTTTAATCCCTATAAATTTTTAACATGATCTCCTAATATTGGCTTTTTTTTTTATTTTAAACTCTAAATTAAGTGCCCAATTCTAAATTTGTTTAAATTGTGTCTATAAATTTTTAATTTATTCAAATAGATCTATCAACACAATGAATCTCCAAGGGTTAAAATATTTTTTTTTGGGGGGGGGGGAATATAATTTATATACTAATTATGCTATATCAAAAACAAATTTTTAAAATTTAAGGAGGGCTGTAGCCCCCCCTTAACGTGGATCCGTGAGTGAGTACAAATGTTTAAGAGATTCTATTACTTAATTTCATATTCGATTAACTTATATTATATCATAAATATTTATAATATACCTAATCTATTAAATATTTTATTCAAATTCGTATTTTAAATTTTGAATCTAATTTAGATGGATTCAAATTTTAATTCAGCTCATCAACAACTAGATTTATTCGTCATTGAATTCAATATTTTTCTATCTTTGAAAAGAATCCTTTTTTGCCATTTAGTTCCATAATGAGAGTTCTTGTTTCTGGAATTGCCCCGTTTTAAAACAAAAGTAATTTCTTAAAACAAAAATAATTTTTTAACCATTAATCATTTATGTTTAAAATTGTTTACATTTGTTTTATTTTGTATCCTTAATTACTCTTTTGGCTTTAAAACTTTACAATTCTAAGAATAATTGAGTCAGATAGTATCTATATTAATCATTTTATATCTTTAATTAATCACGAATGGATCTCAATCAAAACTAAATTCCAAATTTTACTTAATTACAGCAATATCAGCACACGTGTGACCTTGAAAGAGTCAAGCAATTTGTTCCATCCTCCCTTCCACGGTTCGGTTTCGATTCAATGACTTGCTGGCGTTATCCCATTGGACTTTGACAAACACATTTATGACCTTTCGCGTATGCCTCTCAATAGACATCTTTGACTAGCTATATAATATGCTCTAGTCTTGCAGTCACGTTCGTTGCTTCCCCTTTTTGTAAGAATTTGAATTACTACTAGAATAGGAATATTCAAAATAATTTGATTTTTAGACATAAAAGATACTTTGATTTCTTAGGTGGGATCTAATTTAATTTTGAATTTTTTATTTACATTCTTACTTTTTTATATTTTATATTTTGAATTTTTATTTTTATTTATAAATTATACTTATATATTATAAATAAATAAATTATTTAAAATTTATTTATAAATTATATTTATATTTTTAAATTTTAAGATATAAATATAAAATATCATTATAAATAAATTAAAACAAAATACAAAATCTTGAGAAGTCGGTTCCTCTCCAACTACTACCAGAAAAATGCCATTTTGTGATCGCATTATCGGTCACTAATTTCAAATGGTAACGGTCACTGAATAAATCAGTAACCACATTTGTGACCGCTACAAGCGATCAGAAAAACCCTCGTCACTAATCGGTTTTGTGACGAAAACGGTCACTAATCAGTGACTGAATAAAATTGGTCACTAATTACCGGTCCACTAATTGGTGACCGCCATTACTTCGGTCATTAAATAATGCTGCAGTTTTTCATCATTAATCAGTGACCGAAAAACATGCAGTCACTAATTAGTGACCTGATATGGCGGTCACTGATTAGTGACCGATTGTAGTGGTCATTGATTATTTTAGTGACCCATTCTTATAACAAAATTAGATACACATTTAGTGACCGGGAATGCGATAAGTAATCAGTGATCACAATTTTTCCGTCACTATTTAGTGACTCCCATTAAACCTTATATCCTAACTGTGTGTAGGGTTACAATTGGGTCACTAATTTTGTGACCTCCTTGTGACCCATTGTAGGGGTCACTAATGCTGTAATTGCTGTAATGCATATATATCATTTCAATTCCCATAATGTACTATAAAAAATTCATGTAATGCATTTGTATCATCTCAATTGTTATTCACTAGTAGCATACATAAAAAGTAATGAAATATCATCGTACAATTAGTTGGAAATGTCAAAATCTTTAATAATACAATTTAATAACAATTTTGGAACATAAAAAATGAAATAAGAATGTAAAGTATTAAAACATAACAATGTTAAATTGTAACTTCACTGCTTATTGCCTTCTCTAGTGCTCTGATTTTGGGTTGATGATTCACCTTGCATTGTATTGAACTTTTTCCATCATTGCAACCATTGCAGCCATCATAGCCTCCTCTCTGGCCTTCATTGCCTCCTCTTCGGCCTTCAGTGTCTCTTTTGCTAATTTCTTGACCTCCTGAAGCACTTGTGCCTTTCTTGATGCTGCTGCTTGTCTCTCCTCTGCAAGCACTTTAGTAATTGCCTCTTGTAATTGATCCGAATTGACATATTTAGGAGGAGGTTGCTGTAGAGATGGATTCAGATGAGCTGCCAATAGAAGGAAACTCTCTACGATGATAGGTGTTCCCAAAATCATAAATTCAATTTTTGCAAGGCCCACAACAAATTGCAACCTATTTCTGTGCATCAAATGAGCTTTCTAAAGTAGGATAGCTGTCATATTGACTGCAATATGAGTGGTCATACTCCTCTTAGAAATAAATTAATGACAAGTAATCACATTACCTGATAAGACTAGAATAGAAGAATTAAAAAAATATATTTTGATTAGAAAGACAAACATAATTGTGCTTATAACTCAGCTGCAATATTCTTGTAACTAGTTGGAACTATGCTTGTAACTGAACAGGTCTAAGCCATAAGCATCCATTGGTTCAGTTACAAGCAGGGTTTCGTTTATTTACAAGCAGATCTCAGTTCAATTCCAAGCATATCTCCTTTCAGTTACATGCAGATATGTCCCTCTATTCTAACAAACTAGGACCAACTCTTAGAGGCAATGACTTGTTCATTACAAGCATAGTTTTGTACGGTTACAATGAAAGCCCCTACAGTTACAAATACATTAAAATTCAGTTATGTGCATATATCTTTATTGATAAAACGAAGTTTAATCCTAGTCACACAAGCAACCATTGTTTCAGTTACAAATAGGACGCTGTTTAGTTATAAGCAGGACTCTGATCAG